TTTATCAAACCTCGTCTTAAAACTGTGTATGGTTCCTGCCTCCACTACGTCATTTTCTAGGCTATTCCACTGCCTTACAACTCTATGACTGAAGAAATACTTCCTACTATCTCTATGACTCATTTGTGTCTTCAACTTCCAATTGTGGCCTCTTGTTTCTGTGTCCCCTCCCTGGAACATCCTGTCTTTGTCCACCTTGTCTATTCCACGCAGTATTTTATATGTCGTGTATCTGTCACAGCCCCATCGACCCTCATCGCTAGTCCCTGTTGCTCGTCAGGTATTTCTACCTTAATCTTTCCTTTTACGACCTTCCTGCCTCCAGCTTTTGACTAGATCTCTTGTGAATGTGTCAAAAGCCTTTGTATTCCAAATGCATCTACCTTGTTGTGTAGAGACAGAGGAAGGAGAGGAGAGAGAGAGTGTACTCACCTATTTGTGGTTGCAGGGGTCGAGTCCTAGCTCCTGGCCCCGCCTCTTCACCGGTTGCTACTAGACACTCTCTCTCCCCGCTCCATGAGCTTTATCAAACCTCGTCTTAAAACTGTGTATGGTTCCTGCCTCCACTACGTCATTTTCTAGGCTATTCCACTGCCTTACAACTCTATGACTGAAGAAATACTTCCTACTATCTCTATGACTCATTTGTGTCTTCAACTTCCAATTGTGGCCTCTTGTTTCTGTGTCCCCTCCCTGGAACATCCTGTCCTTGTCCACCTTGTCTATTCCACGCAGTATTTTATATGTCGTTATCATGTCTCCCCTGACCCTCCTGTCCTCCAGTGTGTCGTGCGTTTCCTTAATGTTTCTTCATAGGACATTCCCTGTAGCTCTGGAACTAACTTGTTGCAACCTTTGTATTTTGTGTTTTGTGACTGTGTATCACCTATTTGTGGTTGCGGGGTCGGTCCTAGCTCCTGGCCGCTCTTCACGTGTTTGTTAACCTTCTCGTCCCGTCCATGAGTTATCAACTGTTGTACTGTGTATGGTTGTCTGCTCACTGTTTTGTTGTGCTAGTGTCCATGCCTTAGCACTTATGACTGAAGATGTGTCCTACTATCTGCTTGCTATTGTGTGTGCTCATCATTCAATGTGGCTGCTTGGTTCGAGTCCTCCATGACTCCTGTCCTTGTCCACCTGTCTATGTCGATATCTATATGTCACTCTCCCTACCTCCTGCCTCCAGTGTGTGTGTGTTGTGTGTGTGTGTGTGTGTTATGTGTGTGATGTGTTGTGTGTGTTGTACTGTGTGAGTTCAGTGTGTTGTCGTGTGTGTGTGATTGTTGTTGTGTATGGTGTTGTCTATGGTGTGTGTGCTATTGTGTGTTGTGTGTGTGTGATTGTGTGTGGGTGGTGTGGTTGGTGGTGTGGTGCCACTATATGCGGGTCGATCATAGTCGCCGCTTCTGTCTACTAATCATCTTCCTGTCCATGTTTTATCATACTCTCTTAAAGCTATGTATGGAATTTGCCATACTACTTACTCTCCAGATATTCACTTCCTGAAACTATGCTAAAAATCTCCTAACATCCCTTTGACTCAACTGGGTTTTCAGCTTCCAATTGTGGCCCCTTGTTCCATGGATGTAGGGTACACCTGCTGGTGTACCCTACATCCATGGTTTGCTGGAAGCATTTCTGTCTCTATAGTGAATACTTTTCTAAATCTTGTGTTAAGTTCATTACGTACTTCCTGGGCACTCTTTGTGAGCTCCCCTCCTTCTTTCCTCAGCTTGATTACCTGGTCCTTGTCTGTTGTTTGTCTCCTAATGTGACTGTAGTCGTGAATCTCCACGACTACGATGCTCTTTGCACCGTACCCACTCGTTTCGTAGGTACAATAATATTATATACTGCTAGTTGAGCTAGTACACAAACAGGGAGTGTAATGAAATTAGCTCAGAGGCGTCCACACCACCGTATGTCCTTCGATGGTGGGTACAACATCTAGCCTGGCTGGATGTACCATTGTTAAGGATTGTGTGGTCTAGTGGTCTAAAGCATCATGCGTTTTCTCTCACCATGAGGCGGGCCAAAACAGCATTGGTTCGGCTCCTTGGCTAGAGCAGTGTTGATATATATATATATATATATATATATATATATATATATATATATATATATATATATATATATATATATATATATATATATATATATATATATATATAACATACATATGTGTGTGCGTGTGTGTGTGTGTGTGTGTGGTGTGTGTGTGTGTGTGTGTGTGTGAGTGTGTGTCTGTGTGTGTACTCAATTATTTGTGGCTGCAGGGGTCGAGACATATCTCTTGACCCCGCCTCTTCAATGATCGCTACTAGGTTCTCTCCCTGCTCTATGAGCTTTATCATACCTCGTCTTAAAACTATGTATGGTTTCTGCCTCCAATATATCACTTGCCAAACTATTCCACTTCCTGACAACTCTATAACTAAAAAAAATACTTCCTAACTTCTCTTTGACTCATTTGAGTCTTCAGCTTCCAATTGTGACCCCTTGTTTCTGTGTCCCATCTCTGGAACATCATGTCTCTGTCCACCCTGTCAAATCCTCGCAATATTTTGTACGTAGTTATCAGGTCTCCCTTATCCCTCCTGTCCTCCAGTGTCGTCAGGCCGATTTCCCTTAACCTTTCGTCGTAGGACATTTCCCTGAGCTCCGGAAATAACCTTGTTGCAAACCTTTGCACTTTCTCTAATTTCTTGACGTGTTTGACCAGGTATGGGTTCCAAACTGGTGCTGCATACTCCAGTATGGGCCTGACGTACACAACGTACAATGTCTTGAAAGATGCCTTACTAAGGTAACGGAACGCTATTCTCATTTTCGCCAGGCGCCCATATGCTGCAGCAGTTATCTGGTTGTGTGCTTCCGGAGACGTGCTCGGTGTTATGCTCACCCCAAGATCTTTCTCCTTGAGTGAGGTTTACAGTCTTTGGCCACCTAGCTTATACTCTGTCTGCGGTCTTCTTCATGACTTTGCATATGGGGGGGTTGAATTCGAGAAGCTAGTTGTTGGACAACGTGTTCAGCCTGTCTAGGTCTCTTCGTAGTCCTGCCTGATCCTCATCTGATTTAACTTCACATCATCTGCAAACAGGGACACTTGAGAGTCTATCCCTTCCATCATGTCATTCACATATACCAAAAATAGCTCTGGTCCTAGGACATACACCTGTGGGATCCCGCTCGTCACAGGCGCCCACTGTGATACCTCATCACGTACCATGACTCGTTGTTGTCTCTCTGTCAGGTATTCTCTGATCCATTGCACCGCTGTTCCTGGTATATGAGCCGGATCTCCAGCTTCTGGAATAATCTCGTGTGAGAAACTGTGTCAAAGGCCTTCCTGCAGTCCAGGAAAATGTAATCAACCCATCCCTCACTCTCGTATCTTACTTCTATAACCTTGTTATAAAACTCCAGAAGGTTTGTGACACAGGATTTGCCTTCTGTAAATCCATGCTGGTTGTCGTTTATAATCTTGTTCCGTTCCAGGTGCTCCACCACTCTCCTTTCTTAAAAATGGGAACTACATTTGCCGTCTTCCATACCTCAGGTAGTTGCCCAGTTTCAAGGGATGTGTTGAAGATTGTGGTTAGTGGCACACAGCGTCTCTGCTCCTTCTCTAAGGACCCACGGGGAGATGTCCGGTTCTATCGCATTTGAGGTATCAAGGTTACTTAGCAGCTTCTGCAACTTCTCCTCCGTTGTGTGTATGTCATCCAACACTTGTTGGTATATTCCCGGTTGGTGTTCTCCTCTGTGCTGTCTTCCCAGAGTCCTTCCTGTCTCAACTGTAAATATTTCCTTAAATCTCGTGTTGAGCTCCTCGCATATCTCATGATAAGATAAGATTTCGTTCGGACTTTTAACCCCGGAGGGTTAGCCACCCAGGATAACCCAAGAAAGTCAGTGCGTCATCGAGGACTGTCTAACTTATTTCCATTGGGGTCCTTAATCTTGTCCCCCAGGATGCGACCCACACCAGTCGACTAACACCCAGGTACCTATTTGCTGCTAGGTGAACAGGACAACAGGTGTAAGGAAACGTGTCGAAATGTTTCCACCCGCCGGGAATCGAACCCGGGCCCTCCGTGTGTGAAGCGGTAGCTTTAGCCACCAGGCCACCGGGCCACACCGGTTCCTTGTGAGTTCCCGCCTTCTTTCCTCAGCCTGATCACCTGGTCTTTGACTGTTGTCTTCCTCCTGATGTGGCTATACAGCAGTTTCGGGTCAGACTTGACTTTCGATGCTATGTTGTTTTCGTACTGTCGCTGGGCCTCCCTCCTTATCTCTGCATACTTGTTTCTGGCTCGACTAATCTCCTTATTTTCTTGTGTTCTTTGCCTTTTGTACTTTTTTCCATTCTCTAGTGCACTTAGTTTTTGCCTCCCTACTCCTTCGGGTAAACCAGGGGCTCGTTCTGGTCTACCTATTATTTCTGTTTACCTTGGGAACAAACCTTACCTATGCCTCCTTGCATTTTGTTGTTGTTTTGTTATGTGTTTGTGTAAGATGGCAAGTTATAGCTATTGTAAAGACGTAGGTAGTCATCATTATGTTTGTTTCTGATAAAGATAACTGTTATCATAAACCCTGTTCTCTTCCTCAAGGTTAAACAGTGATACGTTCCTGTTTCGTGTTTTATCATATCTTTTATTATTTCTGATTCAAAATCAAAAATGAATATATTCGATTTAAAAGATAGAACATCGAATTAGCTATTGAACGAAACTATTATATAAAAAAAAACATTGCAACAGACAATGGCTTCTGAAGCTCCACGGGAGGATGACGCCGTGCTCATGCAAGGGTGCCATTTATTGCCATCAGTATTCAGTTTGTCACAGATTTCGTATACATACTCGAACTTCCATAGTTTATGTACAGCACATGTTGAACCATCTCATTTAGCAAGTTCAACCTGCATAATATATGTATGGAGTTATGATAGGATAACTAGACCTTCCTAAGGAGATTGTGTCGCCGTTGGCAGTGGCGAAGCTGAGTCGAGAAGCATCGTGGGTGTTTAGTTCCTCCGTTACAAGCACAGTAACCCACCGCCTCCCGATGGCCCAACTAAATTGTTTATATAGTCGTTGACATAATCTACTTATGGCGTAAGCTTTACGTCAACTACATAAAAAGGTACGCTAGGCAATAATGCAATTTACTGTTTTTGTGACTAAACTAATTTACTAAGAGATAAGTGTTAAGTCTGCGAACTTAACCAGTTGTGTGCATGAGATATTTATCATATAACGTTCTCACAGTAAGTGATGTTAGCAGATATATACAGACCTATGCAACAAATACACGGCCGAGGTAACCAATACATGATGAAAGACGTAATAAATGCATTAGAAACAAGGTGACAAATCTCTGAGAAACAAGGTGACAAATCTCTGAGAAACAAGGTGACAAATGTATGAGAAACAAGGTGGCAAAAGTATGAGGAACAAGGTGACAGATACATGAGGAACTAGATGACAAATACATAAGGAACAAAGTGACTATATCATTAACAAGGTGGCAAATACATGAAGGGAGTGAAAGGAACCGATTAGCTGGACTTGAGTCCTGGAGGGGTGGAGTACAGTGTCTGCACTCTGAAGGAGGGGTGATGATATGTTGCAGTTTTTTAACTGTATTGTCGCTTCACCTCTGCCAAGACAGTGATGGAGTGAATGATAATGAAAGTGTTTCTTATTTATTCAGATCACCCTGTTTTGTTGGGAAACGGCAGATTATATATATATATATATATATATATATATATATATATATATATATATATATATATATATATATATATATGTCGGGGGACAGATAGGAGCTGCTGACCACAGGGAGGAGTGCAAGATCAGCAAGTACAGGGACATAAGCCAACAATATCAATATGTCCCAGTGGGATCAGAGACCTTGGGATCATGGGGGAAAAATGCAACACGTTTCCTTAAAGAACTGGATTCCAGACTCATCGACACCACCAGGGACCCAAAGGCAGCCACTTTCATGTTCCAGTTCCTCAGCATGGCCATCCAGAGGGGAAATGCTTGCTGCATACTGGGCTCGCGTCCAGCTTCGGAGGAGCTGGAGGAGATTCATAACCTTTGATATATTGTACCAATGTATTCATGTTTGTGTTTTCTATTAATGTATTCTGTTTATTAATAAAGTTCACATGTAGCTTAAAAATATAGGGGGTGGTAGGAGAAGAAAATATTCAGACACCTCCGGGGAGAACCTTGAGTTTTCCCTGATGTCCGTTTATTGTCTTCTCTGAGGATGAGGCTCCCCAGTCCAGCTATAGAGGTGGTACCTCCCTATATATAATATATATATAATATATATATATATATATATATATATATATATATATATATATATATATATATATATATATATATATAATATATATATATATCGTGCCGAATATGTAAAACTGGTCAATTAGCAAGAACTCATTTAAAATTAAGTCTTTTCTAAAATTTTCTATTATACGTTTAAAGATATATTTTTTTTTCAAAAATACTGATGAAAAAATTTATAATTTTGCACCAAAAGAATCTTTGAAAACTTACCTAACCTTATTATAACAAGAACAATTTATTTTAGCCTAACCCAACTAAATACATTTTATGTAAGTTTACAATAATTTAATGATAAACACAATGAAATATAATATTTTCGTTAGGTTCAGAATGATTTTCCATATTGCATACACAAATTTTCGCTTGTCCTATATGGCAAGATGGGCGTTGCTATTTAAGCCAAGATCGCAAGTTATACATACTCGGCACGACATATATATATATATATATATATATATATATATATATATATATATATATATATATATATATTATATATATATATATATATATATATATATATATATATATATATATTATATATATACAAACACTGATCTCTGGCTGAAGGAGACTCGAACCTACGAACCTTAGAACAAGGTATGCAGTGCTTTACCAATCTACCCACACTGGACAATACCTTGGCGTGTAGCTTGCGCTACACGTTTGATCCAAGGCAGCCAGCTTTCAGGGAGAAGGCTTATAGTTTTTCATCTCATCCCCTGCATGCATCAGCCTTACTAGAGATATTAACAATGCAAGGAATTCGCGAGAGCAGGCGATATATATACACAAACACTGATCTCTTGCTGAAGGAGACTCGAACCTACGAACCTTAGAACAAGGTACGCAGTGCTTTACCAATCTACCCACACTGGACAGGCGAAATTATTTACAAACACTGTCTCTACGTCCACAGCAGGACTCGAACCTGCTAACCTGTATCAGAGTCCACACTACTTTACCACCAGACTAAACCTGCGATAAGTGCTTGGGGGGGGTATGGGGAAACATCGCTTAGCTTCCGCAAAGTAGTATATAAATAAAAAGTGGAAACTTAGAAAGTTTCTAAAGTCACATTTTAATTACATTTTTTAAGATTCAATTTACTGAATTCCAGATCCGGCACAATTTTTAGTGTCCATGTTTTTTATCCAACTTACTATATAAACTGTTTTCGTAATCAAACCATACCCCCGGCCGGGATTGAACCCGCGGTCATAGAGTCTCAAAACTCCAGCCCGTCGCGTTAGCCACTAGACCAGCTAGCCACAATAAGATTCATCCAACTAGGTATATTTCTACACCATAGGAAAGTTAGCACAGGCACCACTGTGACCACAAATGCAAGTTTTTACAGACGAATCTCCAGCTAGCGTGGCCGTGACGAACTCTAGCTCAAGTCCCTTCACTGCCGTGTCATTACGATTTCTTGAGTCATGTTTTCGTAATCTGAGACCGAGGATCGTTTTCAGATTTTCATTACAGCTGTAACTAGAGGAAGGTTAATGTAACTACTTGTCTGTCCAGCCTCAATATAATCAATGTTATTTTTGTCCATTCTTGGACTTTATTTATATGCAATAATTTTGAAGTATCTTGTCATTAGGCTCAGTAATGGTGTATATTACTTAAAATATAATTCAGATTGATGAATTAGACACATGTGCAACTCTTGGGTATCTTTATTGAGGAAGTGTTTCACCACACAGTGGCTTCATCAGTCCTATACAGAGAAGAATGGTGAAGATCAGAAGGAGTTTGAGGTAATCAGTCCCTCAGCCTGGAGTCGATCTCCACTATTCTTCTTTGTATGGACTGATGAAGCCACTGTGTGGCGCAACATTTCCTCAATAAAGGTACCCAAGTGTTGCACATGGAACGGAAATGGTTATAAGTATGACCATAATTTTTAAAGAGATGGACCGGTAAGCCAGCGGAAGGCCTCGGTCAGATGACTAAAAGCTCCAACTGGGCACATCATATGACCAAGACCTGCATCAGGAAACACTTGTTCTGTTTCCTGCCAAACTTTACTAACCAACCAACATGTGTCTAATTTATCAACTTGTCGGTTCTCTGAACCATTTATCAACTTGTCGGTTCTCTGAACCATTTATCAACTTGTCGGTTCTCTGAACTATTTATCGATTTGTCGGTTCTCTGAACCATTTATCAACTTGTCGGTTCTCTGAACAATTTATCAACTTGTCGGTTCTCTGAACCATTTATCAACTTGTCGGTTCTCTGAACCATTTATCAACTTGTCGGTTCTCTGAACCATTTATCAACTTGCCGGTTCTCTGAACCATTTATCAACTTGTCGGTTCTGAACCATTTATCAACTTGCCGGTTCTCTGAACCATTTATCAACTTGCCGGTTCTCTGAACCATTTATCAACTTGCCGGTTCTCTGAACCATTTATCAACTTGCCGGTTCTCTGAACCATTTATCAACTTGCCGGTTCTCTGAACCATTTATCAACTTGTCGGTTCTGAACCATTTATCAACTTGTCGGTTCTGAACCATTTATCAACTTGTCGGTTCTCAGAACCATTTATCAACTTGTTGGTTCTCAGAACCATTTATCAACTTGTCGGTTCTCTGAACCATTTATCAACTTGTTGGTTCTCTGAACCATTTATCAACTTGTTGGTTCTCTGAACCATTTATCAACTTGTCGGTTCTCTGAACCATTTATCAACTTGTTGGTTCTCAGAACCATTTATCAACTTGTTGGTTCTCAGAACCATTTATCAACTTGTCGGTTCTCAGAACCATTTATCAACTTGTCGGTTCTCTGAACCATTTATCAACTTGTTGGTTCTCAGAACCATTTATCAACTTGTTGGTTCTCAGAACCATTTATCAACTTGTCGGTTCTCAGAACCATTTATCAACTTGTCGGTTCTCAGAACAATTTATCAACTTGTCGGTTCTCAGAACCATTTATCAACTTGTCGGTTCTCTGAACCATTTATCAACTTGTTGGTTCTCAGAACCATTTATCAACTTGTTGGTTCTCAGAACCATTTATCAACTTGTTGGTTCTCAGAACCATTTATCAACTTGTTGGTTCTCAGAACCATTTATCAACTTGTCGGTTCTCAGAACCATTTATCAACTTGTCGGTTCTCAGAACCATATATCAACTTGTCGGCTCTCTAAACTATTTATCGATTTGTCGGTTCTCAGAACCATTTATCAGCTTGTCGGTTCTCAAAACCATTTATCAACTTGTTGGTTCTCAGAACCATTTATCAACTTGTTGGTTCTCAGAACCATTTATCAACTTGTCGGTTCTCTGAACCATTTATCAACTTGTCGGTTCTCTGAACCATTTATCAACTTGTCGGTTCTCAGAACCATTTATCAACTTGTTGGTTCTCAGAACCATTTATCAACTTGTCGGTTCTCAGAACCATTTATCAACTTGTCGGTTCTCAGAACCATATATCAACTTGTCGGCTCTCTAAACTATTTATCGATTTGTCGGTTCTCAGAACCATTTATCAGCTTGTCGGTTCTCAAAACCATTTATCAACTTGTCGGTTCTCTGAACCATTTATCAACTTGTTGGTTCTCAGAACCATTTATCAACTTGTTGGTTCTCAGAACCATTTATCAACTTGTTGGTTCTCAAAACCATTTATCAACTTGTCGGTTCTCAGAACCATTTATCAACAATTTAGATCGTTGCTGGAATACGTAGTTTCCAATTTAATATTTAAAACAGTGTATTTTTTCTCTAAAGTATCTTAACTATGACAACACTGAGCCGCTTTAATTATTAATGTCTCATAAATATTATGAGAAGGAAGTGAAGCTATCAATTTATTCTGTGTAAGAATAATTTCAGTTTATTCTGTGTAAGAATAATTTCAATTTATTGTGTAAGAATAATTTCAGTTTATTCTGTGTAAGAATAATTTCAATTTATTGTGTGTAAGAATAATTTCAATTTATTCTGTGTAAGAATAATTTCAATTTATTCTGTGTAAGAATAATTTCAATTTATTCTGTGTAAGAATAATTTCAATTTATTCTGTGTAAGAATAATTTCAATTTATTATGTGTAAGAATAATTTCAGTTTATTCTGTGTAAGAATAATTTCAATTTATTCTCTGTAAGAATAATTTCAGTTTATTCTGTGTAAGAATAATTTCAATTTATTCTGTGTAAGAATAATTTCAGTTTATTCTGTGTAAGAATAATTTCAATTTATTCTGTGTAAGAATAATTTCAATTTATTCTGTGTACGAATAATTTCAATTTATTCTGTGTAAGAATAATTTCAGTTTATTCTGTGTAAGAATAATTTCAATTTATTCTGAGTAAGAATAATTTCAATTTATTCTGTGTAAGAATAATTTCAATTTATTCTGTGTCCGAATAATTTCAATTTATTCTGTGTCCGAATAATTTCAATTTATTCTGCGTACGAATAATTTCAATTTATTCTGTGTAAGAATAATTTTAATTTATTCTGTGTACGAATAATTTCAATTTATTCTCTGTTAGAATAATTTCAATTTATTCTGTGTACGAATAATTTCAATTTATTCTGTGTACGAATAATTTCAATTTATTCTGTGTACGAATAATTTCAATTTATTCTGTGTAAGAATAATTTTAATTTATTCTGTGTAAGAATAATTTAAATTTATTCTGTGTACGAATAATTTCAATTTATTCTGTGTAAGAATAATTTCAATTTATTCTGTGTAAGAATAATTTAAATTTATTCTGTGTAAGAATAATTTCAATTTATTCTGTGTAAGAATAATTTAAATTTATTCTGTGTAAGAATAATTTCAATTTATTCTGTGTAAGAATAATTTCAGTTTATTCTGTGTAAGAATAATTTCAATTTATTCTTTGTAAGAATAATTTCAGTTTATTCTTTGTAAGAATAATTTCAATTTATTCTGTGTAAGAATAATTTCAGTTTATTCTGAATTAAAAACTTGGAATCGTTGGATTCAATACAACCGGTGAATGTTTTTTTTTTTCTGATCGGCTTCAAATTATCAACGTTTGTGTATCTTAGAGAAAAAAATAAAATTTTAGAGAGATTGTAGCCTCTGATTTTTATTATTTTAACAATAAAATAATGAGTATCTTATTATTCTTGACTACTGTAAAAAGCGGCTGTAAAACTGAAACATAAAAACAACCTAGAAATGCACTAAACCCGTAGTGCCCAACCTTACAGTATGAAAGGAGCAATTTGAAAAGTCGAATTTTAATGAAGGCCGCATTTTGTAATGATCAATATTAACATTATACTTATAGATGTATAGACAGCCTTAATTCATTACTGAATATATTGTTATAGTCACTAACCACACAATGGCAAGTGCTGTTGTCACTAACCACACAATGGCAAGTGCTGTTGTCACTAACCACACAATGGCAAGTGCTGTTGTCACTAACCACACAATCACAAGGATTATTGTCACTAACCACACAATCACAAGAGGTTAAGCTCATGAGTACCTTTAGTGTTCATTTCGTTCTTGACATCTAGAAATGTAAATATCTAGAAGAACAATTTCTAACAGTGTAGACATCACCGCAGCGTAGCAAGTGCTGTATGTGCTACTAGGATAAACCAGCACTGACCAGAGGTTAAAGATGGTTGTTAGAGGTGGCTATAAGGTTTTGCTTTAAATATTTTGTAATTGTTGACACTGTGCTGTGTGAACTCATAATTTCATGTGAGGGCCGCATCCATTTCCTAGAAGGGCCACATGTGTGGCCCTCGGGCCACTGGTTAGGGACCCAGCATTAAACCATCACAACGATAATTATTTACGCAGTTTTCAGATATTAGTTTTCATCTACAACCTTTAACGTTTATGAAACAATAAAGTGAATTTAATAAATATTTATTAATATAAACACACACACATACATATGTGAACACACAAACATATATTTATTAGAAATTTTATATATCACTGCAGTAGAATTTTATAGCCTCGCTGCAGTTATGTTTTGTGTGCACTGAGGTAGAGGGGGCTGGGCTTTGAGATACAGGAATCCCTTTCTAGGATCGTGCAGCGATCGAAATTTATATGGGAGTGGATTTAGATTTTAGGTGCCTTAAGCCCACTATTTGACTGGTTTCCTTTGTATAGGAAATACATCGATTTTACTTAAATAATAGAAATTAAGAAGGTTTGTACATATTTAGTGAACGTTAATTTTTCATTGTTGAAAAGTAAATGATTCAGCAGATATTTAAAATCAATAATATCTGAATTTTTAATGGGACCTCTTAATGTGTGTTTCATTCTATGATTACTAAACATTCCTCAGTAATTTTTTTGGTGTTTATATTACAGATGTTTATGGGTGGTGCAAGGTGGTCGGAGGGCCTGGTGATGGCACTCATGCCGGTTAGTCCTCCTCTTCTGCGTGCTGATGACCATCTTCTGTTGCGCTACTACGCTGCGATCATGAGAGTAGTGCGTCCTGTCTTTGTTCGGGTCCTGCAACTCTTCACTAACAACAGAAAAACCTTCAAGGAGCTTCTCTTTGAGCTTCCGGATTACTCCAACAGACAATACAAAAATGACTTCAGCAAAGAAGAGAGACAAAAGCTGGATAATAATGCTTCTAGTAACACTTTTGATATAACATTGCTGTTCTTGTTGCTGCAGCGTGTGTGTGGCCTTCCCAGCATTAACCATCAGAATTGGTCCACGCCGGATACACTGGAAAACAATTTAAAAAGACTGAAAAATCATAGGAATGATTTAGCTCATGAAGACCTAGCATTTTCTCCCGATGATCTGCAACGTTGTTTGTCTAACATAGAGGACCTTTGTCGTGAGGTGTTGAAGGAAACTGGCCGTAGATGCCAATGTACTGTGATAGATGATATTCGGGTGATGGAAGAAAGTTTAGAGGAGATATTAACGGGAGGTATAGATCTTTGGCAACCTTACAGAGAGGCGCTTTATAATCTACAGAAGGAACATTGCAACTTATTGATAAGAGAAGGTAGAAAAGAAATGAAGGAATTGTCAAAGAAACATCGCATTCTTAACCCATTTGTGTGGCTGCTGGAAGACAGATTTGCTCACTTGGATGTTGGTCACATATTTACAAATTTATACATAGAGGGGCAGAGGGAGGTCAGTACACGTGACATTTTCACTATACCTCTTAATTCAGGAAAATATCCTGATGTGTTAATAATGGTTGGACCACCGGGTATAGGGAAAACGAGCCTGACAAAATTTTGTTTACATGACTGGCTGTCAACTTCTTCTTCTATTTGTGGGATGGATAATTATGATATTGTACTGCTAGTGGAATTAAGACATGTTACAAGTGAAAATATCCAGGACCTAGTGTGTGAAGAGCTCCTTCCGCGAACATGTCTTCAGTTGAAGCGCGAAGATGTTCTGACATCACTGAGGCAAGTGTCAACTCTCTGGCTTCTGGATGGCTATGATGAAGCTACTAACAAAACGAAAGATTTAGTTAAGGAAATTATGAAAAAATTTCACAACTCTCAAATCATGATAACTTCTCGGCCTGACAATTCCAATGACCTTCATCTGTTAATTAATGAGGTACATCTTAGTAACACGTTGTATCAGCTGAGAGGATTATCTCCAACTATGTGGAATGTTTATGCTGAGAAACTGTTTTCTGTGTCTGTAGCAGATGAAGACATCCGCCGGGATTCTTGTGAGAAATTTATTAAATTTCTGAAAGAGAAAGAACAAGATATGTTTGAAATATTTAGTGTACCTTTGTTCGTGGTGATGCTGGTGGTGCTATGGCTGGAGAGTCCAGCAGAAGTTACCGGAGCCACCACAGTCACCAGACTCTACCACATCCTCATCAACCTCATCGTCAACACGATGACCAGACGCCCCCAGCTGACAGCTTTAGGATTCACTCAAAGCCAACTTCAGCGCAAGATAAATAATTTTCTTAATTTACTCGGCAAAATGTTCTGGGAAAATTCAAAAATGCTTATATTTGTTCTTCTGAGTGATCAAATTAAACAAATAGAAGAACTGTGTGAGAATTCTGGGTTGCCGTTCAGGGAATGCATGTCACCATTCTTCCTGGTGATAGTGACGGCAACAACTACTGGGACAACTGAAGAATATCATCCACTTCACCGGACAGTGCAAGAGTTCCTCGCTGCCCGAGCATTTTGCAACTGCATGATAACCCAAGGTTGTGATGTGCTTACCCTCGCTGCTCAGTGGATGCTAAAGCACAGGGAAAATCCATACCAACAAATGTCTTATGAAAATGAGTCTTGCAATAAAATAACCAGTGAAACAAATTTTGTTATGGAGAAACTCCATGAAGGAAGTGATGACGTCTATGACGATTACCACTTTGTGTCCACAAATTTTTCTTCTGTAAATTGCTTTTGCTCATTACTCATGTATTTATTTGGTGACACGTTTTATGATCCTGGTGAGATTGAGAGGGAATTCTGCAGCCACTATTTTTTAAATATGACATCTGGTAGCTTGTTGATCCCATTTGTATGTGGATATCTCAAAATGAATGATGCATTAACGCGATCTAGGGCAGAACAGATGATATATGTCGCTATTTGTGGTCAATATAAAATTAGGCAATTTTCTCTTTGGATGAAGCTTATTCATGAAACTGAGGAAGATAAAGAATTTATTCAGGAGTTAAATTCACAATTATTCTCTTACCAGTGGAATCCTAGTCCATTAGAGCTACCAACAGTGGCAAAACTCTTAGAGTTTATTACCCCAGAGTCAGTCCACGTTCATCTCTGTCGTTTAGATGACTACAGTAATAATAAGACATTTATTGATGAACTTCGTATACTTGCCAGATTTCCAATTAGAATTTCTCTCGATTTGCAAAATTCAATGTTGTCGAATATGAGACGCTTCTTAATATATGCTCAAGAGTGTTTGGCAGTACTGTTGGACCCAAGAGCCTCTTGCCACCTAACTGCTCTGTGTTGCCCACTAAACAAGGAAAGTTTATCACTGTTGCGTCATGCTCAACACCTTGAAGATCTGTATGTGAGGGTCGACAACCTGGAAGATCTGCAAACTTTAGCTCAGATTACAGACAGTCTCCAGAACCTTCAGAACCTATCAGCTTTCATAAATTTTACTTTACTAAATATTCGTGTCAAAATGCTTCCAACATTTAGATTAAAACAACACATTCAGCAGAATTATAATTTTGCAGACCTTCAAGGTAGCTATACAGAAATGTCTGGAGAAGATACTTTTCCAGAATATGATCTCATATACCTCAAGCCTCACAAATGCCCGCCACCCAAGGTTCCAAGTCATAAACTGTTGCATAGATTCTCGAAGAAGAAGACAATGAAGAAGAGGAGAAGAAAAATGAATCATTTGAGCGAGCCAACAATAACAGTTATTCCATATCCCACTCACCTTCAAAAACTGAAAACTAGATGGATTTATGAGTCACATCAGAGGATGTGGAACATGCCGTCTGCCCACTGCCACTCCCAGTGTGCTAAACGTAGGTGTGATCCAGATTTGTGCAATGACAAGTGCGCTCACAGAAGCTTCCCTCCTCCAGAGCAAACAAAGCAGGAGTGGTTTGACTGTCACAAAGCAATAAGCTACCATCATGTATGCCTTAAAAAGTTGAGATCATTTTATAAAATAATGTGGAAAATAATAGTTCAAAAATACAAACCCAAGAGACATATGTACACAAAATATTATGACTCGTATATTAAAACTTTTTGTTATGAAATGAAGGATGAGCAGTTCCGTGAGAGTATACATGATATATTTATTGACTCACTTGAGGTGTGTGAATTACTTTTGTTTGAACACAAAGTATGCATCCAGAAACACCGAAAACATCTGACACACTTAAGGGAACCTAAAAATCCAGTTTCTTCTGTTCAGTTTATTTTAATTGATCCTTTCATTGTAGATGAAGCAACGTTTAGTTGTTTGGTGTATAAACTCTGCCCTAATCCACAGAGAATTGCGTTACTGCATACCAAGCCAGTGACTCTTAGTGATACAAGTATTGCTTACCATGTGTTGCATTTATATGAGTCATTCACTAGTGTTAAGCTTATAAACATACACTTTTCTGCCTCTTCTACTCAGGAGATTCTCTCATATGCTGGAAAACGTAATGCCAGTATTGAAAATATAATCAATATTATTAAGAAAAGTGCACCACATTTGACACTTAACGTGTCTTTTACTTTTGATCAAGAAATAAATCCAAAAACTCAAGGTCAAATGACGCATATATCGTTCGTTTGATAAAGAAACATGGTCAGAATCCCTGGCTACATATCTAGAAGTATAAATAATAGAAGTCCTCAGGTTTTTCTTCAACTCTACATATCCTTGGTTAGGCCTCATTTAGATTATGCTGCTCAGTTCTGGTCATCGTATTACAGAATGGATATAAATGCTCTGGAAAACGTATAGAGGAGGATGACGAAGTTGATCCCATGTATCAGAAATCTTCCCTATGAGGATAGACTGAAGGCCCTGAATATGCACTCTCTCGAAAGGCGTAGAATTAGGGGGGATATGATCGAGGTGTATAAATGGAAAACAGGAATAAATAAAGAGGATGTAAGTAGCGTGCTGAAAATTTCCAGCCAAGACAGGACTCGCAGCAATGGTTTCAAGTTGGAAAAATTCAGATTCAGGAAGGATATAGGAAAGTAATGGTTTGGTAATAGAGTTGTGGATGAGTGGAACAAACTCCCCAGTACAGTTATAGAGGCTAAAACGTTGTGTAGTTTTAAAAATAGGTTAGATAAATACATGAATGGGTGTGGGTGGGTGTGAGATGAACCTGACTAGCTTATGCTGCTGGGTCTCATAATGCCTTGCTCCTTCCTTAAGTGAAAGAGACCTGACTAGGTGGACCATTGGGCTAATTGGGGGGTGGAATGAACCTGCTTCGCATGGGTCAGTAGGCCTGCTACAGTGTTCCTTCCTTATGTTATGTACAGTACTCTTGTTAAAGAAATATGATTAGATGATGTATATACAGAACTTTTGATAAAGAAATAAATCCAACATCATATGGTGAGATTATGTATGCAAATGCATTTCAAAAATTTTCATTTAACATTTATTTAGGTATCCCCGAAGGGGGCCTTTAATTTGTTGCCTTATTTTTTCTTCCAACTTTCCCATTTTATTTCGCCTCATCGGATTGTCTTTAAATTTTAAATGTTTTGATCTTTCTAGAAATGCCATGTACAGATGTACGATGATCAAAGTTATTGAAACAATTCCCAATATCTTGGAATGTTTCTGATAACTTGCTAAACGCTCAGCAGTACAACTTCTAACGTACAAAAATGGTGCCTCATAATTAGTAAACAATGAAGAGAGAAACTAAAGTGGGTTGGTGCAGATTTGATTATTTGGTGTGTAAAATGGTACGAAATTTTCATTCCCATTTTATCAAGTTAAAAGTAGTTTAGTTTTCGTCTTCTGAGCCACTTCTTTATTTAACGTCTGATGTATATTATGGTCAGTATAGCAGTCACTCAGTTTGTGGGTCAGCAAACTTGTCAATGTTGAAACTCTTCAGAAAACTTGGAATCAATAATTGGAAATCTTATCATATTAGACTTTTTTTTTAAGAACTGCTAATTTTTTTTTCTTAGAGAAATGAGGAAAAGTTTGAACCTAATACAACTGAAAAAAAAAAACTGACAAACATTAAAATTTATCTTTTGAAATATGATGAATTAAATGAACTCTTAAAAGCTGTGATCTGTCCCATTGTGAGCTGCAATTTTCTCGTCTCATCTAAAGTTTTTGTTATAGCCTCAGAACGCCTTATCCAACTGCCTTCAAGTTTTAGAGTTTATTGAATTATAACAAGATTGAGACTCATAGGGCAGGTAATCTCTGTTCGGTTTTGTTAGACCATTCCCAAAATGGATTTCCACAAGACAGCTATAAGCAGGCTCTACTGACTGGCTTCACAATTTCAGGTATCACAGAGTGATTGACGAAGCTTCATTGTTTCAATAACTTGTGTAAGTTGTTTCTGAAGCTTCATTGTTTCAATAACTTGTGTAAGTTGTTTCTGAAGCTTCATTGTTTCAGTAACTTGTATAAGTTGTTTTTGAAGCTTCATTGTTTCAGTAACTTGTGTAAGTTGTTTCTGAAGCTTCATTGTTTCAGTAACTTGTATAAGTTGTTTCTGAGGCTTCATTGTTTCAGTAACTTGTGTAAGTTGTTTCTGAAGCTTCATTGTTTCAGTAACTTGTATAAGTTGTTTCTGAAGCTTCATTGTTTCAGTAACTTGTGTAAGTTGTTTCTGAAGCTTCATTGTTTCAGTAACTTGTATAAGTTGTTTCTGAAGCTTCATTGTTTCAGTAACTTGTGTAAGTTGTTTCTGAAGCTTCATTGTTTCAGTAACTTGTGTAAGTTGTTTCTGAAGCTTCATTGTTTCAGTAACTTAGGTAAGTTGTTTCTGAAGCTTCATTGTTTCAGTAACTTGTGTAAGTTGTTTCTGAAGCTTCATTGTTTCAGTAACTTGTGTAAGTTGTTTCTGAAGCTTCATTGTTTCAGTAACTTGTGTAAGTTGTTTCTGAAGCTTCATTGTTTCAGTAACTTGTGTAAGTTGTTTCTGAAGCTTCATTGTTTCAGTAACTTGTGTAAGTTGTTTCTGAAGCTTCATTGTTTCAGTAACTTGTGTAAGTTGTTTCTGAAGCTTCATTGTTTCAGTAACTTGTGTAAGTTGTTTCTGAAGCTTCATTGTTTCAATAACTTGTGTAAGTTGTTTCTGAAGCTTCATTGTTTTAGTAACTTGTGTAAGTTGTTTCTGAAGCTTCATTGTTTCAATAACTTGTGTAAGTTGTTTCTGAAGCTTCATTGTTTTAGTAACTTGTGTAAGTTGTTTCTGAAGCTTCATTGTTTCAATAACTTGTGTAAGTTGTTTCTGAAGCTTCATTGTTTCAGTAACTTGTGTAAGTTGTTTCTGAAGCTTCATTGTTTCAATAACTTGTGTAAGTTGTTTCTGAAGCTTCATTGTTTCAGTAACTTGTTTAAGTTGTTTCTGAAGCTTCATTGTTTCAGTAACTTGTGTAAGTTGTTTCTGAAGCTTCATTGTTTCAGTAACTTGTGTAAGTTGTTTCTGAAGCTTCATTGTTTTAGTAACTTGTGTAAGTTGTTTCTGAAGCTTCATTGTTTCACTAACTTGTGTAAGTTGTTTCTGAAGCTTCATTGTTTCAATAACTTGTGTAAGTTGTTTCTGAAGCTTCATTGTTTCAGTAACTTGTGTAAGTTGTTTCTGAAGCTTCATTGTTTCAATAACTTGTGTAAGTTGTTTCTGAAGCTTCATTGTTTCAGTAACTTGTGTAAGTTGTTTCTGAAGCTTCACTGTTTCAGTAACTTGTGTAAGTTGTTTCTGAAGCTTCATTGTTTTAGTAACTTGTGTAAGTTGTTTCTGAAGCTTCATTGTTTCAGTAACTTGTGTAAGTTGTTTCTGAAGCTTCATTGTTTCAATAACTTGTGTAAGTTGTTTCTGAAGCTTCATTGTTTCAGTAACTTGTGTAAGTTGTTTCTGAAGCTTCACTGTTTCAGTAACTTGTGTAAGTTGTTTCTGAAGCTTCATTGTTTTAGTAACTTGTGTAAGTTGTTTCTGAAGCTTCATTGTTTCAGTAACTTGTGTAAGTTGTTTCTGAAGCTTCATTGTTTCAATAACTTGTGTAAGTTGTTTCTGAAGCTTCATTGTTTCAGTAACTTGTGTAAGTTGTTTCTGAAGCTTCATTGTTTCAATAACTTGTGTAAGTTGTTTCTGAAGCTTCATTGTTTCAGTAACTTGTGTAAGTTGTTTCTGAAGCTTCATTGTTTCAGTAACTTGTGTAAGTTGTTTCTGAAGCTTCATTGTTTCAGTAACTTGTGTAAGTTGTTTCTGAAGCTTCATTGTTTCAGTAACTTGTGTAAGTTGTTTCTGAAGCTTCATTGTTTCAGTAACTTGTGTAAGTTGTTTCTGAAGCTTCATTGTTTTAGTAACTTGTGTAAGTTGTTTCTGAAGCTTCATTGTTTCAGTAACTTGTGTAAGTTGTTTCTGAAGCTTCATTGTTTCAATAACTTGTGTAAGTTGTTTCTGAAGCTTCATTGTTTCAGTAACTTGTGTAAGTTGTTTCTGAAGCTTCATTGTTTCAGTAACTTGTGTAAGTTGTTTCTGAAGCTTCAGTTTGATTGTAATAAAATATGTTGGCCAAGACTGTCATCAGTTTTCCAATTATTGGATACCTCAATTTCCTCAATATATTTATTAATTTTTTTTGAGCTTTTCTGTGCATTTTTATTTCTTAATGTTTGAAAGTTACTCATTAAATATTTGTGACACCCTTCATACTTTCTCTTTGAGCTTCTTTTGTAAAAACGTATAAAACATATATAGAAGGTTGGACGGGTGACTAGAACTACGTTCCGTAACTTGCCAGTTGGACGCTCATCCGTCTTAGCTACCCAGGCCTCTTAAAAGGTAGGAATCCCAACTATTATTATTATATTCCGTCAGAGGCACAAACTGTAGCCCAACTGAACTCCTTCCTTCGGCCCTAGAGCTTTAACAGGGGGTAAAAATATTTTTCTTAACACGTAGGCCGTTTCCTACCGAGGCCGGGTGACTCAAAAAGAAAGAAAAAGAAAAATACTTTCATTATTGTTCAACAGTTTCACCATCATTCACACATAATCACTGACTTTGCAGAGGCGCCCGGATATGACAGTTTGGATGTCACTCCAAACAGTTAATATCCTAAACCCAGCCTTTAAAGTGCAGGCAATGTACTTCCTACCTCCAGGACTCAGTTCTAGCGAACCGTTTTCCCTGAATCCCTTCACTAAATATTACCCTGCTCACACTCAAACAGCTTGTCAGGTCCCAAAAACCGTTCGTATCCATTCACTCCTGTCTAATTCACGCACGCTTGCTGGAAGTCCAAGCCCTTCGCCTACGAAACCTCCTTTACCCCCTCCCTCCATCCTTTCCTAGGACGACATCTACCCCAGCTTCCTTCCCCTACAGATACATACGCTTTCCATGTCATTCTACTTTGATCCATTCTCTCTAAATGACCAAACCACCTCAACAACCCCTCTTCAGCCCTCTGACTAATGCTTTTATTAACTAGACACCTTCTCCTAATTTCCACACTCCGAATTCTCTGCATAATATTTACACCACACATTGGCCTTAGACAGGACATCTCCACTGCCTCCAGCCACCTCCTCGCTGCAGCATTCACAACCCAAGCTTCACACCCATATAAGTGTGTTGGTACTACTATACTTTCATACATATCCTTCTTTACCTTCATGGATAACGTTGTCTCCACAGATAACTCAAAGCCTCACTCACCTTTTTTCCTTCATCAATTCAATGGTTAACCTCATCCTTCATAGCTGACAAGTCAACTCCTAAATATCTGTATACATTTACTTCTTCTATACTCCCGCCTTCCAATGTGATATCCAATTTTTCTTTATCTAAATCGTTTGATACCCTCATCATCTTACTCTTATCTATTTACAGTTTCAATTTTCTTCCTTTACACACCCTCCCAAACTCGTCCACTAACCTTTGTAACTTTTCTTTAGAATCTACAACAAACGCGGTATTATCAGCAAAAGCTAATTGTGTCAACTCTCATTTTGTATTTGATTCCCCATAATTTAATCCCACCCCTCTCCCCAACACTCTACTATTTACTTATTTGTCAACCCCATCTATAAATAGGTTAAACAACCATGGTGACCGACATTACACTTCGCAGTCTAGGGCCTATATTTACTAGGAAGTAGTCTCACTCTCTCCTACACTGGCTACACACCCTGACCAGAGCCTCACTATCCTCTTAAAAACTCTTTAAAGCAACATCTGCCACATTGTTCCCCTATCCACCCTATCATATACCTTTTCTAAATCCATAAATGTAATGAAAACTTCCCTACTTTTATGTATATATTGTTCACATATATACTTCATTGTGAGCACTTGATCTACACATACCCTACTCATTCTAAAGCCTCCTTGTTCATCTACAGTCATGCTGTCTTACCTCTAATATTTTCCATAATAACCCTACCACACATTTTGCATGGTATACTCAGCAAATTTATTCCCCTATAATTTTTACAATCTCTTTTGTCACCCTTCCCTTTATATAAAGAAAGTATACACGCTCTCTGCCAATCCCTATGTACCTTCCCCTGGTTCATACATTTATTGAACAAAAATGCCAACCACTCCAACACTATATCTTCTCCTGCTTTTAACATTTCTGACACGATCCCATCAGTTGCAGCTGCTTTAACCCCTTTCATTCTACATAATGCCTCACACACCTCTCCTACGCTCTTCTTCACTCCTAAGAGATGCTGTACCTCCCTGGCCAGTGCATGAAATTACTGCTTCCCTTCATCAACATTTGAAAGTTCCTCAAAATATTCCTGCCATCTTCCCAATATCTTCAACTCCCTATCTACTAGCTCCTGGGCGGAGGGAAGGCGTTCAGATGGGCTACATTAGGTGCCTTTGACTTTCAGTAATACAGCAATACCTCCGAATCTTTCCTGCTAGAGGCCTGGGTAGATGAGATGGTAGAGTCGGACTGTCAATTTACGGACTCCAGTTCGAGCTCCCCGTCCTCCCTTCTGTTTATTCATTGACATTTGTTTATTACAACTTAATTTGAGTCTTGACTCAAGAAATCGTAATGTCAGGATTGCAAACCACGGTATGGGCGGGGATTAAACTCGCGGTGAATCGTAAAACTCCAGACCGACGTGTTAGCCACTGGACCAGCTGGCTGCAATAAGGTTCATCCAACTAGGTATATTTATACACCATAGAAATAATAATAATAATATCTTTATTTTACTACGAGTACATGTACATACTACTATACAGAAAGTCCCTTGTTATGTAGAGCATTTCGGGCAAATTAGGTCAGTGTCCCAGGATGCGACCCACACCAGTCGACTAACACCCAGGTACCCATTTTA